AAAATAGAAGTGTGAAATTTGAAACCATTTGTTAAAAAATATTTTAAATCATCTTACTGATACTTGCATAGTTAGCATAGTTGTGTAAAACACATAAGCCCCGGTAAAGATCTTCCATTAAGTGATAGGCATATTGCATTTCTCCTCAAAAGCAAGAATTTTGTGCTGTTTGATTATAATCTTTGACAATTTTATTTTATGTACAAGTCATTGCATGCATTTGCATCATTTGAAGTTTGTATTTCTGTGAATATAAGACTGCTTTGAAACAGATTTCCTTGAAAACTGTTTATTTTTCCTATATTCTAATTATATCTGTCTTTGACAGTGAGACAAAAAAAACTCAAGTACTAGACAAATGAGGCAGAGGAAGCTTTTTGCTCAATAATAATTTTCCTCTAATCTCCAGTGCCTAACTGGTTCCCCATTAATTCAATCATGTCTATATAGAAGAGAATGCTTTTTTTTCCTGTTGTGTGTGAAATATTCCATTTGTTCTGTCTTTTAATTTAATACCCCTTTCACATTTCTTCCATTGATAGAATTTGGTTTCCATTCATATTTGTAAATACCGTTTTGTCTTTGAAATAATGTAATTTTCTGTGAGTAGAAATGCATGATCAGTGATGCATCAAATATGTGAAACAATATTAAAATTCAGAAATTAATTTAGAAAATACTGTCTACTGTTTGCACTAGGTTGATTTCAGTAAATACAGTTCCTTACACTGTTACATCRTAATAAAGAAATGTTGCAGCAACACTTGGAAGGAAATTAAAGAATTGCTGACCTTGAAGACAGCTGGAGAAAAAATGTGTCCACTCTGTCTATTGGAGCCTATATTGACTCAGCTTTGAAATGTCCATTGAGAGTGTGTCTGTATAAATATACCTGTAAGGAATTAGTATTATTCAGTACTGGTACAGTACAGTTATATATATATATATATATATATATATGTGTGTGTGTGTGTGTGTGTATATATATATATATATATATATATATATATATATATGTATATATATAGACACATACACTCTGTGTGTGTGCGTGACTGGGCCTGTGGGTGTGTGCTCTGCAGTCACGGAGGCTGTTCCGCTGTTTACGCCCTCTTTGGCAGATACTGACCTGATCCTGCTGTAATTCTCCTACGGTGCCTGGATGTGATTCAGGGAGTATCAGATTGAGCAGGTAGTATGGAGAGTCCTTCAGAGGGGAAAGATGTAACCCATGATGTACCAGTCTCTTCTCCCAAGTTGCAAGCAAAAGGATGAGAGGGAACAGTCTCAAATTGCTCCATGGAAGGTTTAGATTAAATATTGGGAAAATTTATTTACTGGAACAGTTATCAAGCAATGCAACAGGCTTCCCAGTGAAGTGGTTGAGTCCTCATCCCTGGAGGTATTTAAGACATGTAGCTGTGGCACTTAGAAACATAGTTAAATGGTGAACTTGGCAGTGCTGGGTTGACAGTTTTGACAGTTTACCTCGATTATCTTAAAGGTCTTTCCCAACCTCAACAATTCTGTGATTCATTTGCTCTTGAGCTCCTAAAATCGAGGAGAKCCTTGTCCCTTTTGGTTTACAAAAAGGAGTTTTGAATTCTGCCTCCCAAATGAACCCTTCCATATATGTGCTGTTTTTCCTAGCTCCTTCAGTGTTTGTGGAATATCTGGCTTTGTTGTTTATGGCCAAATGGTCCCAGAGAACAGACCACTGGGGACAAACTGTGTTTTGTGCTTCTGGCATGTAGTCTACCTCAAGCTCAGTGGTGCTTTCATTCTTCTATTTCTGTGGCTCATTTGTAAAAAGTAGTTGAGGTTTTGGGGTTTTTTTTCAGTTGAAAAGTTGGACGTCTCTCACCTGATCCTGGTTCTTTTATCATGCATACATAGACCCCCTGCCTTTTGAAATTATACTTTGTGATAAAACACCCCTGCACTTTGGTTATGCATTATTATTTGCCTTGACTTCTGTTTGCTACACCACAGCTTCAACCTTTTGTCCATGTTGTTAGTCACAATCAGCATCTTAGCAAGAAACACAGAAGACATAACAAGTGACATTTTATTAAGTACATAGGAGGTACGTAGATACAGAAAATCCTATTTTGTACAAATTGGTTCTTACCTGAACAAACTGTCACAATATATGTGTTTTCCTATGAAAAGGGTAGGACCAAATGTCTGAGTTACATGAGAACATAAATAAATTATCTGGAGGAAAAGGCAATCTGCTGTATAAATATTTCAAGTTTTATAATTGAAGCTATTACATTGATCTGCGCTTAGAGGCCTGGCCTTATTTTGTAGCAGATAATGTTATGTCAAAGCAATGTTTAGTTCTACACAGCAGCTGTTGTATTCATACTAAATTATGCCCGATTTAATCTTGAATATATTCAGCAAGAGCACCCAGTTGTGCTGACAAACTTAAAATCATTTACAGTAAAGTTCTGCCGCAAACACTTTAGGCACATTGCCTCTTTAGGTTGAATTCCCATATTATATCCAAACATCCCAGCAGAAGATTCAATAGGTATCCTACTGGAACACTGCAGTAGCAGAGGTAGACAATATGAGACAATTTCTCAAGGGTATTACTTTCCCAATCACTTTAATTGCACCTGCCTAATTCACCACTGCTTGTGTATTCATTTGTACTTGTTCAAAGCAAATGCAATTTAATTTTAAAATACTCTCAAATCACTGCAATACTCATTTTACATGTTGAAAGAACAAGACAATAAAGTGGATAATCAGGTTTTCAGGGTTTTGTAAGGAGAACTGAAATGTTGCATGGAGAAGAAACAATAAAAGTCAAGGTWCACTTTTGCAATACTTCAAAGAGTGTCCTGTAAATCCTGGGTCATTGCACAGAGAGGGCACCTTGGTAATTGAAGTGATCCTGTAATGAGGAGAACAGTGTGTGAGAACCTGGTTTAACTGGAGAAGAGCAAACAGCTRTAGTCAATGGAATAAAATCAGCTTTTCTGGAGAGCACTTCACACTTCATTGCAGGAAATGTTCTGGAGTRCTCTCAGGCACTCTCAACAGAAGCTCTTCTCCTTCCCCTTATCACTGCAGCAGGAGTGTAGTGAACTGTATGTGCCAAAAATGGGATGGAGAAAACAATTCTCCCTTCCCCAGCTCAACCCCCAGCAATTTAGGGTGCTCATTTAAAATGTAGCAAAGTTCAGTTTATTTTTCTAGGAAAGTCTGAGTATTTTTCATGCATTTCCTGCTATGTCTCTTACCAATTTCTGGGTATTTTGGAGGTAGGCATCTCACCATGCTGTTCCAGTTGGTATAAATAATTATGCAAAGGCTATAATTCTACAGTGTCCTTTCTTCTGRTGTGTTTTGTAATTTTTCTAATCTTCTGTGACTGACAAATAATTAGGCTTATGGTATGATATGCAGTCCTAGAGATAGTTTTGAATGTGAACAAGCAACTTGCCCTTTCCTGTGATGCCCCAGTCAGCAGAACAGCTCCAAGAAGWACATGTCTAGACTTTAACCTACTGGAATATTTTGATTTTGAAACAAAAATTTGTGTTACAGATAGTGACAGTAAGAATCAGGGAATTTCATGTCCTAGATTAGGATGAGAGGTTGAGCTCCACACCTCAGTTTTGTTTTCCAATCCCAGTGTCTGCTCAGAGGACTAAACAAAGAGAAAGATCATTTACAGTAGCAATTAAGAGGCGTAATTTCTTCTGTAAAGTGAAAATTGAGGGAAATTCTTAGCATAGATTGGTTTAAGTAACTTCAGGAACCACAAGCAACTCTTTATTTAACATTTGTAAAGCAGCTGCTTCTTTGCAACTTTAACTCCTTGTGGGCTAGGTAGCACTGTGTTTCATACCTACAGCCAGAGCTGAGGAAGCATTCTCTTCAAGGTTGGAAAACAAAACTGAGGTGTGGAGCTCAAATTAATGGTGAGCACTGTGAACTTTCTGATCCATCTGGCATTTGGGAATTACTTTCTCAGGGAATGTCTATTTACTAAGGATGCATTGTGTAAGCACCAGTTGGGTTTCTAAGTCTGCACAGCTCTTTGTAGGTCACTGGTGATGCTGATGGGGCTTGCAGGCAGCTAGTTTTCACTCCTTCAACATTCTTAGTTAAGAGCTTGGTCCTGAAAGCAAAAAATAAGGAGGGAGACAGAATTCTGTGTAGCTAATGTGATCTCTCCTGCTTGGCTGAGAGGAAAAATCTAGCACATTTCAAAGAACAGATTTCCTTTAAGTTTCACTTCCGACACTTCATCACATATGAAAGGAGGAGAAGGGTGTTAGAGAATATGCTGACAGTTAATTAGATTTTGATTTAAGGCTAGAAATGACAAAGTAGTTTGGTGTTACTTATTTTGAGAGGAATCAGAAATCCAGGAAGAGGAGTCTAGGTACAGTATATACAGTAACTCCTCAGTACCTTAATGAACTCTTCTGTATTCAGTCTACTGGTAAGCTGTCTTATTAGAAAGAGTTCCAAAGTGGGGAGAATCTGGAATACCTAACTCAAAGCTGCAGAAAGATTCCACRGTTTGCTTAGCAAATTCATGGCTTGACATGTTTTCATTGGAGTAGATGCCTAAAATAACTCTATCCAAGAATGGTGCAGGGTGCTTGGAAGCGAGACTTCAGTGGACRTTAATCCACTAAATAGTCCAGAGGACTATTATCTATAGTATATACTCTTTTTTAAAAAAAAGATGGACTGACTGCTTTGTCCTTCTTAGGAGAGGCATTTGTATTTCCATTCAGTAAGGTTATAAGAGTCTTCACTAGCTTCTTTAGGAAAGTGTTATGATCTAGGTGTCCTAAGAATTTGTGGATTTCTTGGATTTCAGTAGARCACATGGTGTAACTGTTATCCTTGGACATAGTATTCAGACTGCTTGTATTCCACATATTATTAAGATACATACAATCCTTTAACTCTCAGTTGTCTCTGCATGTCATTCTTTTTCTATTTTTTTTTTTTTAATTTACCAGGTTTCTTGTCCATACTTGCGTAACTATTGCAAGCTGTCTAGTCTTATGAAGTTGAACTTCATTCTTCAAGTGTGATTTACTCAGTACAGCCTAAAATCATGATGAAAAAGATGRGCATACCTACAAGCAAAACTTCCCTGGTCCTCTTTCTGTGCCAAATTATTTCTGCACTGGATGTACCTCTTGACTGTAAGTATTAACCTGCTTAGTAAGTGCAGAATAGTGGAAGTTTAGTTAAATAATTTCTGTAGGCAGCTGAAGATAACTCCAACATGGAGCTAAACATGGAACATTTGGTCACTTCAATCAGGATATTATGGTTATGAATATTTTCAGTTATTTACTGAGGATTTTCAAAACCTGTGCATATAAAATGAATTAGATTGTTCACTTGAGAAGKTTTGACATGGGATTCTCACATAATTCTACTTGCACTTCAGTGTGACTTYGTTTGATTAAAATGAAAAAGGGCARAGAAGCTCAGCTAAACACTAATTATTTGTGAAATTAAGATCACATTGATAATTTGCTGAAAGCTCCAGGACAATTTCTAGTTGCTGTAACAGTCAGCCTTACCTTCAGAGACTAGGTTCCCAGGAGCTGATATGAGACGTAGTAAAAAATTTTGACACTCAAAGCATCTTATTTTTTGATGCAGAAGGGTAAGTAAGGCTCTCAGATTTTCTAAGCAGTGCCTGAAAAGGAGTTAAGTACTTAAATTTAAGTTAAAAATATATTAAAAACATGTTGAGCAGGGAGCTCCAGCAGTAACACCAGACAGTTCTTGTCTAGTGTAAGACTCAGTTAGTGGGGAACCTTCAAGGTAGCACTCCATGCTGGAAAGGTAGCTGCTGCATTTTATATTCTTAATAGCTATTTTATTAAATTACTCATGCTTCAGGTTGATATTTTGTTTCTAAGATAAGCATGCTCACATTTTCAGGATTCAGTGAACCGTGTTGCACCTCTCAGTGACTATTCATTTGTCAAACTAATTACCAGGGAAGAGAACATTAGGGTTGGTGTTAAATTGATGGATTAATACATCAGGAAATTTGCCCATGATTCTAATCTGCRTGGTTTTCTTTACCCCTGTGTTTTTGATACCTTCCTGCCTTCCAGAAATGCATGTTTTCCTTTAATAATCATTGACATACATTACAAGTGCTTTGTTTTTTTTTTCCCCATGCATTTTGCAAGCCTATCAAACCAATGACCTGTATTTCTGTAACAAGATCAATATATCTGAATCACATGAAACTTGTATGGTAAATGCCTTTAGAGCAATAAGCTGTGGCTTAAAGAGGGATTTGAAAGTTTGATGAATGAATGTGTTATTTTCAAAACTCAGTTTTTCTCTTTGAATATCTTTGCAGGCTATAAATAGCGCTTTAAACCTGTCTTGTAGTTTAGGAACTAATGGAAATTCTGCACCTCTTTAGTATCTTTATCTAWAGAATAAGACTTTGGGTTAAATTTATCAGAAATGCATCAATAGACAAAAATAAATAGCCCTTTAGATATATAATTTAATTCTCTACTGAGATTTTAATTCCCTATTAMTTCATGCTTAATAACTTTGTGAGGTCTGATTAAGTCACATACTTAATTTTTTAGCCAGAAATCACATCTATAATGATGTTATTGCTTTCATGAATAATGATGAGAAAGGGCTCTGGGAGAGCACCACAAGGGAAGGACTTATATTTTCTGAGGGTCTTGCCTAAATACTCAACTGTTTAAAAAAAGACCYGATGGTGAGACCGTAATTGATTACTTGAACTTAGTTTTCAACCTGGTTTGAACTTTCTATTCATAGCAAGTTCTTTAGYTCCTAGTCAGTGTCTCCTCAAAGCAGGCAAAAAATGACTGAAAATGTAGGGACCCAAGGACATTTGACCCATTGATAAAGAAGCATGTTTATGCAAGAAATCTGTGACAGCTAAGATGATTTTTTTTGTTTGATTATTTTTCTAACCAAAAAGGGTTGCAAGTCTGTTGAGTAGAACTAGGTGCTTCTGTCATTACAAGAGTAATTTTAGCCTGAAGCACTCTCTTTGTTCTTCCATGTGATCATATGGGTGGATTGATTTTGACTGCAGCATGGGGGTAGTGCACTCCATTAATTCTGATTCGCTGCTGTCTCCTCAGTATTGGTGTTTTATGTCCTTTCAAGGCCAAAATCACATATCATGGTTACCCTTAAAAAGTGAACACTTCAGAAAAGCTTCTCATGCCATGAGCTTTGAGATAAATGTAGTAGTATCTGACACAATGGAAATTGTGCCTGGAATTTCAGGCATTGCTGCATGGGTTGCAGTACTAAATGTTTTTAATGTTTTCTTCTTAATGGTGACCAATGTGCTTGTCAGAGATACTTATCTTCCCCCTCAAAATTGCTAATTTTCTCTTCACTAACAAATGTTTCTCTTTAATCTCCATTTGTCCATTCAACTGCTGATTCTGATGTGGGAATAAAAGCAAAACTTCTAGAAGAATGTAAGTTACTCTTCACTAAAAATAGGCTGTGTGCTGCTGAAAATTAATACTGATTGTGTTGCAAATTGAGTTTGCAGTCCAAAAATGTGTGATTCTGACATTTTGTTGATAATTTGGTTTGCTGCATCTAGATGCTTTGTGCATGCAGTGTTCAGAAAATACTATTGCACATAAATCAATGTTCTGATATTCTGAATAAATTAATTGTGTGGTTTTTGATGGTGTGCTATTGAACATTAAAATCCTCACTAAATATCAGCATGTGCAGTGTTTTATTACTACTTTCAGGAGTAAATATATTTGATAAAAAATAAATTTACTGGCATATATATACTTTCATACTATTTTACATATCTGAGTTGGAAATACTTTATAGCCACAGTGGATATTTAAATAGACCTCCTATTTTACGGGTTCTAACTTTGCTTTAGTTTTATGGTTAACTTAATCAGTTTTAAGTGCAGTGCATAACACAGGAGTGGAGATTTCAGGTCTTTGATGTGCATCACATGGAATATCCTGTAGATTGGGTAGTGTTCATGTCATGTCCTTTTTCAGAGTGTATTTGCTTTTCCCGAGTAAGCATCTGACATATTCTGACCCTGAGAAATGCCTCTGAGAGGGAAAAGGACTCTCTTCAAAGTACTCCTAAGGCATCATGTAAAACATTGCCTTCCTCTTTCAAGGATTCTCCTCTCTTCAGTGAGGAACAGAATCCAGTTCTGCGTGGCCTGTTCTGTTCTGCTTTGCTGCTCTATTTTGTTGTGATTCCATGATTTGATTTCTTYTCATGGCTGTTTCATGTGGGTGGTTTTACAGACAGATACCTCTGTCTGTGCACAGGAGTATTTAATGTATAACAGTRAGGAAGGCTTAGAATAAAAATCCCAGTTAGGCAATTTTAGTTGGCTAGAATGAGGCATGAGAACATGGCTAATTCTAATGATGGAAATGTTTTGTTCCAGTGGCTGGAAATTACCCCAAAGCACTAGCAAAGGGTTTTGCTGGATGAGTGATTTATAGCACTTAGGGACGTTCATGGGCACATCATTAAATAGGTTTCTTTAGGTGAAAATATACGAATAATGTTGAGGAAGACACCTTCCTCACTGTCTTACTATCACAAACAGGATTTTTTAAATGCAAAAATGGGCATAGATAATATTAAAGGTAATACTAATTGCTTCTCCTGGGGCAATTAACAAGGTTGGCTCTATTTTTATTTGGTTTCTTGAGGGAAATCAGTGCTAAACTTTTCCTACGTGTTTACTTTATTTGGAAAGTAGATATTATTTTTGTCATTTTAATAGTGTCTTTTGCTTACAACACATTTTTTACTCCTGAAAAGTAGATCCTAAAAGCATGTTTTGTAGATTAATTCAATATGTTGAGCATAATAAATGTGTGGAAAGGTTTCACCCAAAGAGAATTTGGAAATAGATAAAATGTTTAGAAGCACAAACCAATGTATATTTTTTTTCTTTCTGTGTGGTAAAAAAACATTTTGTGGAGGTTTATGTCTTGCAACTATTCATTTCAGATATGTTGGACTTGGAATTTGAGTGTCCTTTGGTTTAGTAAAAATCTGTTGAAATCTGAGGTATAGAAATTATATTTTCATTAAACTTTTTATCCAAGATCTTCATCTGCTGTAAATCAGGATAGCTCAGTTGGAAGTTAGTATAGCTACACTGATTTACCAAGGTAGAGAGCTTCAGCCTCCTGGTACAAAGGATACTTTATTCTCACTCTTCTGTCTGATTTGGTTGCTAATAGCAGTTCTTCTTTCTCTGCTTACAAAAGTGTCTTGGTGATACTTTGAAAATATTATTGAATTCCTSTCTCTTTGTTGTATTGCATAATGAAGTGTCACAACCTCCTACGATAACTCAGCAATCTCCAAAAGATTACATCGTTGACCCTCGGGAGAATATTGTAATACAGTGTGAAGCCAAAGGAAAGCCACCTCCTAGGTTAGTAGGATTTTTTTTTATTATTTTATTTTTTTTTTATTTTTTTTATTTTTTATTGCTTCTATTGGCCTAACAGCATGGAACTACTAGGAGAACATCCTGTAACTTTTGTAAATAAGACCAGGATTATATGTATGAATGTGCTTGCATGTGCAGAAACGTGCATACATCCTTACCTCTGTAAATTACACAGCCACCAGATGGTAGCATAATTTTGACTCATATCACACTTGACATTTAAACGTTTCTGGAGTCATAAAGCAACTGTAACATTTTTTTTTTTCTTCTCAAAGCTCTGACAAGAAAATAATACTTGATTATAACAAGAGCACATCGGTGAATGTCCATGGAACACACTAGGAGCCATGCTGTATTGTGAACTGGATCACRTACCAGGTTTAGGCATAGTATTTAAGAAGAATGGACATTGAATAAAGTTAGACTAATGTTAACGCATTCAAATGTAGTGTTTTGTATATCATTCCATTTTATGAGGCTAATCTTAAAATACGATTTGTCAGAAATTGTGTGGTGTGGGCCAGTTTTCTTGATCAACAGCTGTATTTGATGGCCATTAGTTTTCGGTTTTGGCAGAAATGGATCAGATTCCTGATCATTGTTCATTTTAAGATCCTCTTTCAGCTTCTTGAAATATTTGAAAACTCATCTCAAGGTCCTGAGTACATGCTCTGGAAACCTCAGTAGCCATGAAGTATTCTGGCATTGTTAGTAACTGCTTCTGATTGCAGAGACTGTGAACACAGCAATGTGCATCTCTCTGCTCTGCAGGGTTATGTTACACCTTGCTAGCAAGGTCTGTCTCTGCTCATTCAGACACTGACAGAATGTGTTAAATGTATTTCTTCTGAATAATCAGGTCTTTTTCTGCATTATTCCTGCTGTTGCCTTGGCATTATAATCATTATCGTGCTGGGCAGCAGAATGGAGGAGATGGAGATTATCAGGGATACTCTTACCCTTTCTAGTGTTCTGTTAAGGACAGGAGTGCTACAGAGCTGCTTTGTTTACCAGCATTTTAATTTGGCTGGCCCAATGCCATTTGTAAGAGTCTGGGTGTTGACCTGGAGGATCAGATGATTACTGTCCACTTTGGGACAGCTGTATTACTTCTGCAGATATTTCTTTTGAAGTTTTGGTTGGTACTACCTGAGAGAAAGAGTGCTGTCCGTGAGACTGACATACCTGAGCCATGTGCCAGGCCTCTCTGCTGTACATCCTCATCTTCCCCATCAAACAGATCTTGCTTTGTACCCCTGCTACAGAGAGAGTGACAGGATTTAAGTATAGAATTTTCTAATGAGTTTTATAAGCTTATGCTTAGTCTTATTTATTTTTTTTCAGATATGGTATCCATTTTATTTTTATCAATAGTTAGTCTAGTTGGTCCATGTCTTGATAACCTGCAAATGCATATTGGAACTTGAACTGCTCCAGAGCTCTGAAATCAAAGGTGGACTTTGTCAGCGCAGTGTSAATTGTCAAAACTAGATAATTTCTTACTGGTGATAGCACCTGGAATAAAAGTTTGTGGATGTGCTGCTGCCTATAGCTAGAGCAGCAAAGACTCTGACTGTCGTGTATCTTAAATTCAGGGGTTTGTACCACATTTTCCACTTCTCATTTGAAGCTACATTACYTCGTTGCATCTTTAATGTTACTGGTTACAGAAACCCTACAATCAGAARTTTCACCTGCACAGTTGTAAGCAAGAGGCTCCCTGTTCGCTCTGCATGCTAATCCTCCCAAAAGCACTGCTGCATATCCAGTTCTTCTTTCCCCAGCACAAGGTGCAAATGTCTTGTCCAGTCCTGGCTGCCTGCTGTAGAAGGCCAGTACACAATTTCAGTCAGTTAGAATTTGAGCTTTTCTAGTTACCATTGACATTTGTACTTTAGGAAGCATCCTAACCAGCACAAAGACTGTTGGTGCTTAAGAATCTGAAGCTGAAATGTGACAACTACAAAAACTGCTGTTCACATCATTTGAACCTGTGAGTGCTCAACACTTCATAAGTGTTGGTCAAGCTCTCTGTGCCTGTACCTCTGACCATTAACAGAACTAAGAAACTGGTGTTTATGGTAGTCTAAATTGTAGACTGTGGATCTCTGCTTCTTTACAATTTTAATGAGTTTCATTAGTCTGCATTTTTAGTAACTACTTCTCAAAACATCTCTTGTTTCGAGTAGCACCAGTATAAATTTACTAGGTTGATTAAAGGCTATCAGACTGTATAATTTCAATTAAAGAATTAAGTTTGTTTGCATTATAATAGTGAAAAGAAATCGAACTCACCACAGTCTTTAATTCACTTGCATAACTTCAAAATCACCAAACCAATTAAAAGAAATGGTCTCCTGCTGGGGCCTGAGATGACACATTTCAGCCTTGAGCAAGTTTTTAAAGACAGGTTTATAAACCCTTTCAACAATAGGTTTTATAATGGAAATGCTAATTCATCTGTAGCAATATCAGTTCTTGCAGATGTTACTGTATGGTTTTTAGTAGAAAGAAAATCAGTTCGCTTCCATGTATGATTAACCACAGAATTTTTAAATATATTTATTTAAAAAAGAATTTAATTTGAAACAGCTCCTGTTAACAAGTTCAGCCAAACCTTTTATCTGAAAATATTGCCAGATTTCTTATATTAAAAGAACTGTATTGTTTTATTAGTTAATTTATTAGGGAAAGACTCTTATTTATCTGCTAATGGAAAAATATGTATTTTTGTTAGTTAGTTCTTCATTCTTTTTCTCCATACAATCTACAAAAGGCAGCTGAAGAAAAAACTTCTGTTTTTATTATTTTAGCTTCTCCTGGACACGCAATGGAACTCATTTTGATATAGATAAAGATGCACAGGTAACAATGAAACCAAATTCAGGGACTCTTGTCATAAATATTATGAATGGTGGGAAGGCAGAAGCTTATGAGGGAGTGTACCAGTGTACAGCAAGGAACGAACGAGGAGCAGCCATTTCCAACAATATCGTTATAAGGCCTTCTAGTAAGTAAAGCTTTAATGTTYATAAAGTGTGAAAAGCTTTGGTTTTCATTTTTGCTTCTGAACTTCTTGCCCTTTGGTTTTCCTGTCTTAAAAATTCAGTCATCCAAGTGACCATGTTAGAAGTTACTGCCTATTTTCTAATATTCAGGTATAATATTGTATTGTGTGTTCTCTCAAGTATTTTTTTACAAAAATTAAATAACCTGGATTTTTTTCCTGGTACATCTGGATAACCTATAATGTTTAAAACTCAGTTGTATGTATGACACTACTATTAAAGTAAAATATTAAATCCTTAAGGCACATAATTGATAACAAGAATTTTTATTCTCTGTATGAAGTCTGTATAGTATTTATCAATGTTTAAAACTCAGTTGTATGTATGACACTACTATTAAAGTAAATTATTAAATCCTTAAGGCACATAATTGATAGCAAGAATTTTTATTCTCTTTAGGAACTCCATATTTCATAGTTTTTGTAATAACTTTAACACAGAACAGATTGGGACTAAAAAGACAATAAAGTTAAAAAAAATTGAATTAATGGTAGATTGTTTCTACTGCTTTCTGTGAGTTTCATCTCAGATAAGTTGTCAAACTTCTCAGCTTAAAATGTGCTGTTCTTACATCTTAATTAAAGAGTGTGTGTATAATACTGCTTCAGGAAGGTCTGCCCCTTTATCTAATTTAGTACATCACTTTTTTTTCATTATGGTTAAAAATCTACAAGATACTGTTATAAAACTTTTACTGAGTAGACAAAATAATTTGAATCAGTTGATTATACTTTCAGCAAATCGTTACTGTACTTTTCTTCCAAGAAAACATAAAAAAAGAAAAATCAAAACTTTAGCAAATGTGCAAGGACTTAACATCCTGATGGATGCAGTTCTTTCAATTATCTGGAATATTTTGTGCATTTTTCCTTAAATTTTGGAGTTTTTATCAATCCATAGTTCGTGTGTGTGTCAAAATTTCTTTCTATAGGATCGCCTTTGTGGACAAAAGAAAAACTAGAACCAAATGATGTTCGTGAAGGTGATTCACTAGTGCTGCACTGCAGACCTCCTGTTGGATTACCACCGCCTATCATATTTTGGATGGATAATGGTGAGTTTCCTTTTTAATGCAGTTTACTTTTTTCAGCTTTTCTACATAGTAGGTCATTACTTATGAAGACCACAGATGGTGAAGTTTCCATGTAAGTTAAAATTCAGTGAATTTCCATTTCTGTRGAAAAGCGGAAACAAGCAGACATACAGCCCAAAAGCACGAAGCCAAAAGCAGCTGGAGATCTTAATGTAAGTTGTAGATTAACCCACTGGGGAAGAATGGGTAGACAAGGGAGCTCATCAGGAAACTGAGAAATGTCTGTATATGCATCAAGCCACAAAAAAGTATAATTGAATGAATGTGGAGTCTGCAGATCATAATAATAGTGTGTACTGTAATTGACATAAATGTGTTCTTGTTTTCCCTTAGCTTTCCAAAGGCTGCCTCAAAGTGAAAGAGTTTCCCAAGGTCTAAATGGAGATCTTTATTTTTCTAATGTACAACCAGAAGACACCCGGGAGGACTATATCTGCTATGCAAGATTTAATCACACGCAAACTATACAGCAGAAACAACCCATATCTGTAAAAGTMATTTCAAGTAGGTATTGCATTACTGAATTATGTACTTACATAGTATTTATCTGGAGTTCTCAAGTTATGTGCTAAAGTTAAGTAGTGCTACGCTAGGAATTTTGACATTTTAATTCTGAATAAGAAATTACATTACTGTATAAACTTGAAACATAATCTCCAGTTTTCTTAATATATAATTGATTTTAAAAGCTATCATTTTTCCCTTTATAAGGCTTTGTGTTTTGAAAATTTTTTAAAAGTTTGATACATAGAAAAAATACAGTGTAAAAATAACAGCTTTCAGATGTTTTTCCAGTGCAAGAATATAGTTATTCTGATTATTGTAACTATTGAAACAAATTAATCAATCACTTGATTAACTYACCGTGGCCATGTCATCACCTTTTGATTCCCAAAACTTTTATTTATCCCTCTTGTATGCTTTCTTCATGATATTTTATTTATTTCAGTGGATTCATTGAATGACACTATAGCTGCTAATTTGAGTGACACTGATATTTATGGTGGTGAGTTACACTGGTCCCCACTGATACTCCCTGTTTCACAGTAGCATTTAGTTAACTAACTTCACCTCCATGRCTACTTAATCTTTTGCTCCCTTTTCAGTTTCTAATAAAGGTATCAATTAGTGCTGGTGATAATACATACTTTACAGAGGGACTGCACAGTGTGATCCTTTCAAATATTTAATGTTTCAATGTTCTGGTAACATGGCTCATAGAAAATACAAACACTTATAATGAAAGAGTCCTTTCACATTGGTGCAGGTTTTAAAAACTGCTTCTGTACTGTGTTGCTTTTTATAGTTTTCCTCCAATTTATGTAGTAATTCAATGTGTTCATTATCACTAGGACTATTCAATATCATGGGCTGCATAATAAATAACAATTAAGCACTTAACAGATCYACTTCATGTTTAACAACTTATTGAATGCACCATTTATTTTTAATTTTTTTCATAAGCGTGAGACAAATTAATGAAAATCTAAACACTTTAATACTATCTGTAGAAATAACTTTGTAGGAGTAGGATGAGTTTTGTTTGTTTGGTGTTTAAGCTGTTCTTTCCATTAATCTCTGTTGAATGGTCTTTTGTGTGTTCTGAATTAAATCCTCCTGAACAGATGTATGTGTGTTTAGCAAGGCTGAATTTGGAGCACCACCGATTCTAGACTCTCCACTTGATATTGCATGACATAGAAAATACTTAATATTTATTCAATKTTTTTGTCTTTTTCCTTGTGAAATCGGGCTTTGCACATATGAAACCATAATTTACGCAAATCTAAAATGAAACATKGGCACAGAATATTTTACTTCTCTACATTAAAATTATATGTTATTCAGGAGGAACAAACAAGAAATAAGTACTTGAATACAAAGCAATATATTARCTACAATTAGTGTGGAAAACACCGTTGGGTTGGCTCCCAGCTCAGAACCAGCACAGGTAACTCTGAATATTCACAGTCTGGCCAAGTGAGTCAGCAGCCCTTGGCAGTGCCCACACTGTAGATGCGTTGTTGCTGTGACTGTCAGCTGAGTTCTTGACTTGAGACTGCTCCACTCTCCCAAAAACTTAAAGTTGCTTGTGTACTAGTTACTAAGGAATTCACAGCACATACTGGATTAAAATGAGCTGCTGTTAATGCTGCTCTATCAGTAAATCCTGTACCCTAGCAAACTGAGAGTTTATTATGCTTCTAATCACATTTTTAAAAAGCAAAATTATTTACTGTAATGTTTCAGACTGCAACTGCACTTCAGAGCAGTTTAATTCTRTATATTAGAATTGCTACACAAGAACATTAGAGTATTTGCAGAAAACACTATAATTCAGAAAATTCTTGTTCTAAATGCAATGAAGGCGTAGGAAATACCATATACTTCAAAAGCCAACAGARTGTGTCAGAAATGGGTATTATATTTATAGCTGTCTGTTTCCTGTGGTTATTGCATACAGGTTAATCAATGGTTCTTTATTGCAAGACTGGGGAGCAGCTTGAATTAAAGTTAAATATATAGTAAGAGGAAAATATAAGGATTAATGTCAAACAACACCTCATATTGTCTAGAAAGTATTAAAACACGTTCTAAAGCAGACTTTACCTTTTATCCCCTTCATTTATATTTCTGATTAACATAACTTTGCTTTGTTTTTGTTTTGATGGAAGCCCAGAAATTTTCAGCAACTCTCAGTCTTTCACTGCGCCTCACACCACTGGCCTCCTACTCCCCATTATAATGCTGTTGAATGAAACATCGGCTGTTTAGGATTAAGACTGCATAGTTGCCTATGTAAAAGTTTTGTATCAATTGTTCCTGTCTTTTAATAACAACATTTCTTTCCATGYGTTCAAAATTGTGGCATTTAACAAATATGTTACGTCTGTCAAAAAACTAATATGTTCAGCTTTGTAGTTGTGCTACACRGTGACTTTTAACCAAATGGCCAATGTGGAGCAAAATCTCTGTCCAAAATTTGAGAATGGATGTATGCACTTGATTGGTATTAGAATAAAATTCAGAAATTAATTATTTTACTTTTTCTTGTTTCAGCAAAGCCAGTTACAGAAAGGCAGCCAGTTCTTCTAACACCAACAGGTAGCACAAGTACCAAAGTGGAACTCAGAGGAAATGTGCTTTTGTTGGAGTGCATTGCAGCAGGATTGTGAGTTACTTTTTAGACTTTTTTTTTCTAAATAGAAATACAGAAACAGAGAGAAACATTGCAGAGATGTTTAAAATTTTGCTTATTAAATGTGACAAAGCTTATCTGTTTCAAAGAAGCAGAAGTGTAAAATACAAAGAACTTTTTTTAAGGACCTCCACCATTTACTTGGGCATCAGCAGACTTCGAAACCATCTGTGAATATGTATGGCCTCTGCCTTCTCATATCCCCAAACCCTATGCACAGGATATGGGTTGTACCATTGTTTTTAAAGGACTCAGGCAAGAAATGCTGTAAACTAACCTCAGGCACATTACCCACAGAATTGCACTCAGGAATAAAGCCTCTGTTGTTTTCCTAAGTTTACGGTCGTTAGGTTCTCAAATTATATGAAAATAGATAAGAATTTGCTGTTCTAATCCAAGAAAACTGCTTATATATGTTAATAACTTAGTAGATCAGCTGACTCTAAACTGTTCCTACCCAGCATAGATGGGAATTGTTAGAACATATCTTCAGGTCCTTACATCCAATTTCTCATTGTAATTGAGTTTAATTGTTATTGTGCAATAAAGGAAATTACTAAAGGGCAATTTAACTTCATGAACTAGGTTGATTTTCAAATCAGTTTCATTCTCAGGAAGAAATCTGAAAATAGATTGGTCATAGAATAGAAGTGGAAAATCTTTAGTTCCTATTTCAAGAACTGTAAATATGTTTACAGTGCACAGAGTCATATAATGCAGAGTGCTTTGAGGCAGCCCTGAGGAAAGCCTGTAATTGCCAATCAAGCACCAAAGCATCATGCACATGAGCTCCACAGGGCACACTCAGGCACAGCTTGAGCTGAGCATCAGTGCAGTGTTTCTGTCTCAGCTGTGCCCTGCTCAGGTGTCTGCCCCAGCAGCACTGGCAAAACCACCCCTGTGAGTGGGAGTAGCATCAGCCCAAGTAACTTTCATCTGCGATAGAGTAATGTGCCTTTTGACAACCCTGCAATAAAAGTACTTGGTGATCCAAACTCCAGTAAAATGGCTGAATAAAACCTATGAAAAAAGTAGAGTGTCATATATTATGTGGCTTTGTGTCTTCAGCTGTCATGCAATTAAAAAAAAATTGGTGAGGGAATATTTGTCCACAAAGGGCCAGATGCAGATTTTGTTTGAAATGTATACCTAATCACTGACACCACAAAAAGAAAGCTTTGCTAGGTGTCTGTGTAATAAAATCCCTTAGACTGCTAAGGGAATATATGCCTAGAGCCATTACTACGGGAGAGAGGACATTCTACTCAGTAAGCAATATATTGTGATTTTTTGTAATTTTGAAAGTTTATCTCCATGTGTTTGAATAACTTTCAACTTCAGCTTCAGTGGACAAGATGGGGCATAGACAAAGGTTTAGACACGGTGCAGTGACACGTAGCTATAATTGACTCAGCACTGACATTTTTTTCTTGATTTCTCACAAGAAATATTTCTGTCTCCTCACAGCTCTTTTGTAAAGTTTTTTATGTTCATGAAGTATTAAGGTATTGCTCACACAAAGGACAGTTATATGCTTCTCATTATCTAGAAGCTACCTTTAAGAGCACCATGAGCATCAGTTTAATAGTAGAAGCACAATGTAATTTGAAATAAACTTGTCTTCATTTGTTAAYCAGGTTTTTAAGATTAATCAGCAGACAAATGTATTCTGTAATTATTAATCCAATGAACAGATGGCCATTGACAATGTTAGTGAGACTTGTCATTTCCTAGAAACAAATGCTGGCATATTTTTCATATTTGTTGGATGTGGCCCAGAATCTGGGTAGAAGCTTTTAAAGTAATTATTTATAAAACATATGTTAAAAATATTAATGTACTGAACTCTTATCTTTCTTCAGTCCCTAAATTTGATCTCTCCTTTTACTTCTCCAGACCCACACCAACAATCCGCTGGATTAAAGAAGGAGGGGAGCTGCCAGCCAACAGAACATTTTTTGAAAACTTTAAGAAAACTCTCAAGATTATAGATGTTTCTGAAGCTGACTCTGGGAACTACAAATGTATAGCAAGAAATGCACTAGGTTCAGTTCATCATGTCATTTCAGTAACCGTGAAAGGTAATACTAAAATAATCCTTAATGTAATGCTATCAAGGGTCCAGAATGCAGGATTGAAGCAGGCTTTCTAAGATGAMGCATTAGCTAAAAGGATGAATGATAATGGTTAAAAATCAGCTTGAGCAAACAGCCATTCAACTGTCTGGATTCTAACACCGGAAAGGCTTTTACTATCTCTGATAWCTTCTTCATCTTTTCATGTTACCTTGCAAAGCATCAGGCTAAATTGGGATTGTACTGGAACTGTAGTAAGATAATGTCTTACTTTGCACAAGTACTACATTTATTTTAGATCCTTTGATTATCTGYCATTAGACTGCTTCTTTCTCTTGTTTCTATATCTTCCTCCTTATCTCTCTTCATCGACTCATCCTTAGTTTCTCCATTTTTCTTCTCTGTATTCATATAGCCCAGATTATTTCTTTTCTCTGTAAAACTGTCGTTTTACAGTCTTACATTTTTCTTCCTTTTTCTCTTTTACTGATATTTTTGGGTTTCTGTCTTCGTGTTTTTTACCCAAGATGATGCCTTATAGTTCTAAAACCATTTACAATATGTTTGTCTAAATAGGAATTGTAAGTATGCTGTGAATACCATGGAACAAAGAACTATAATGACAGTTAATTAGTCATTGAAATAATCAGCTGTATTGCATGCTTTGCATGCTAAACAGTAATTTATTTTGCTGTAGATCAGCATGATTTTATGATCACATTTAACCTCCTTTCTAAGAGCAGAAGTTTAATTTTCTTTTTGCATCTGTCCATCAATACAAAATCTGAAAATTAATTGCAAGATGTGATAATATATGCTGTTTGTGGTTATTTATTGTGCAAAAAGATGGAGAAATAGGTGAATACCTTTCAGTAAGGACAGTGTTTCACCCGTTTTGATCTCTGTGAGATTTCATCTGTCTCAGGTAAACATCTGGCCTCACTGTAATCACCCGATGAATTCAGTGAGACCAAGGATTTTGCCGTTTCTAAATTTCACCCTTGACATTAAATCTTTTTATGTAATCAAACCTAAATTCATTCCTAACAGCCTAACTACTAAGAGTATGGGTATCTCTGAAATTAATCAAAAGACCACTGTAGTCTCTGCAGATGCCATACACAGATAAATTTTGCTTGCTTTAGCAAAGGCAAATTAGATTCAAAGCAGACAACCCTAAATGAAACAAAGAGCCTCTTGTTGTTTATATCAGAATTTTAATGCAGAGGGTGAGCAGAGGCTCAGTTTAGCCAGTGTATGATCTACCAGTTGAGTATCATATATATATATATTTATATATATAAATACATATATACATATAAAGTAACAGCATAGCTGTAAGTTCGTTAGCTATACACAACCTTGATTGACTTATCTTCTGTTTACCATGCCTGTGCCTTAAGATTTTCTGCGTGTAATTTTGGAAAATAATTGCTGTCTTCCTTCTCATAAACCCAGCTGCTCCATACTGGATAACAGCACCCAGAAACTTGGTCTTGTCTCCTGGAGAAGATGGAACATTGATCTGCAGAGCTAATGGCAACCCAAAGCCTAGTATAAGCTGGTTGGCAAATGGTGTTCCCATAGCAAGTAAGAGTCTTAATTACCTTACAGGAGTGTGAGTAAGGAAATGTGAGGAATCTCAGGGTGTTTTTTTAAACTACATGTGAAGAGCCTCTTTTGTGTAGTTTTTGCCTTATAGGTAGTGCTAAATCGTAAGAAATGTGAAAAAAATACTGTGGTTCATAGAAGTAGAACAAAAACACATTATAACACTAATGTGTTTGAGAGAACTAAAATGTGCAGCCATGCTCCTGGTTATTCTGTGTGGTAGTATCTTTGTGGAAATCGGATGGTCCCTCTCACAGGGCCATTGCTGGGGTGTCATTGTTACCACTGTGTTTCTGTGGCAGTCATGTCTGCTGGATCTCTCCTTTGCTGCCCCACTAGAACTCTGGTGTTGCCTAGGAATCCAAAATGTGACACAGAAAGTGAAGTCTTAACAAGTGTGGATATAGAGAGCACTTGTAGGATTTGCAGGATTTGCAGTACACTGCAGGATTTGCAGCTTAGCGTATGTTTGAGCCTTCCAGGCTCGAGCTCTAAGAAGCTGCAGCAGCAAAACTGAATGTGTCAGCAGCTACCTGGCAAACGCTTTGTGCCAAGTAGGTGTCAAAGAAAAGGAAGCCCTAAGGCAGTGGAACAGCTGTCTCTGTGTGCACGGGTAAGAAAAGCAGCCCTGACCTGGTGATTGAGCCACTTAATTGCTGCAGTGTTATGATTGGCAGTGCTTCATGACAGACAAGGTAGCTGCTATTTATAGTACAACTGGCCTTGGGAGGAACTAGCTGGAGGACTCTGCAGTGTGTTGTCAGCTGAGTGTGCACKGAGCATACCCTGTACTGTAAGGTCACACTTGGTTCTTCTACTTTTATCCTTTTGCACCAAATAGTAAAGAGCCAGACAGTCTGGCCTGTTGACTCATGAGAGATAATGCACTAAAAAATTCTGCTGTCACTTCTGTCACTTTCAGAAGTTTAGGAGTTGTTTAAGTCTGTTGGTGGGATATGGAGAAGGATTCTCTACCATCAGAGTCTAGGTAATATCAACACATAAATGAGAACTCCATTAGATATATTTGAAGTATTTGGTATACAAAAGAGATTAAATTTATTTGTAGGGGGGAAAAAATGAAACTTTGGGGGACAAAATAAGGATATCTATTGAAAAAAATCTAAATATTTAGCAAATAAACTGTATTGGGAATCCTAATTAAATGGAAGGTGAGGTTTCCAGCCTGAGGTTTTCAGGAGTAGCTGGTACTTGGGTGCTTTGGATGACACCACATTTCCCAAATAAAAGGGCAGCATGTATTGAGGAATCACTACACAAAGTCTTCTTGAGGGGAGCTGACTAAAAATTAAAAGACTTTTAATTAAATTACCCCTCAAACTCAGGGAAAAAAAAAAAGAATATAGGAGATAAATAAGTGGGTAGCTCAGCCTTATATTAAAGGTTATTTGCACTGCTGAGAAAAGCTGAAGTCTTAKCCACGTTAAATATTTAAGTGCACGTTGATTGGATGCTCCAGTACACTGCGTCTGTCAGGGCATCTTTGAGAAGCATCRTGATCACAGAAAATGCAGTTCTTAAGATTCTTGTGATTTTTTATTATTCTGAGTTATCAAAAGCTGTTCTGGAAATTACCAAGTACAGTGTGCCTTTTTGTTCACTTGTTACTAAATTATAGAATTGTGCCCCTCATCTTCCAGCAGAATGATTAGGAAATCACTGTAAAAGGAAACTAAAGCAGCTGTTTCAGCTTCAGGGCAGTGCTGAGAGAGCTACACCCATGGCAGGATTTCAAAGAAAAAGAGCTACATTTGAATTTCAAAGCCCTGCTGTCATCATATATCCCACAATGTGCCTCTTGTGGCCTAGTAATCTGTTTGCAATACTTTAATTTTCTGTTGGAAAGCACAACTGGGAGATACTTAATTCTTCTGGTTTTGTTTTTCCATAATAGAGTCAGACAAGGAGTGGGGAATRCTGAAGAAAGAACCATTCGTCCATATCTCAAAGACTGAGGCTTAAATTTCTATAGGGAAAAGGCAAAGGAAAAAAAAAAGAGAAAAATGTGGTGTGTGTTGAGCACCCGTGAAATAAAACTGCAGTGGTGTGGATTTTGTTCAATATTACAATAATCTGAGTAAAAAAAAAAAAAAAATTCAAGGAAGATTTTAGGTTTCCCTGAAATATTTTAATTAATTTTCTTCATCAATCATTCTGAAAAAACCAGCATTTCTAAAAAAAAAGTTGCTTCAGGCATGTTGGAATGATAAGGTTGTAACCTAACCTCCTGATGTTTACTCACAGGAGGAGTGTTTTGAATTCACATGCACCGTCTCATTGGGGACAATTAGAATTAGTTTGGCAAGTAGCAATTGAAAGTTCAGGCCATGACTCTGTGTTGCCTTGTGCTTCAGTTAACACTCAAGATCTGCATTATTTATATCACAGCATAATCCATTGTGTCTTACTCCTCAGATGTTCAGCATGGTTTTACAAAAGGGAAGCCATGCATAAAGTATCTCAACTTTTAAGAAAGTAACAACCCAGATTAATTGGGAAGGGGAAGCACTTTTATAATTGGACTTCAGAAAGGCAYTGCAAATATTGTACAAAAGACTAATTTTTTGTTCCAATGGTTTATAGTTCATGATGAGCAATTAAATATTAGATACAAACACTTAGATTTATACACAATAGTGCAAAGTTGCTGTTTATCTTCTCTCAATGCRTTCTTCTCTTGTTATATCCCATTTCACATTGAATCTCTAGGTTTGAGTTAGTCTTCATTAGTACTCACATTGAATTTAAGGGAGAAACATTATCCCTTAGATTTCCTTCATGAAAGGTCTTGATAATCCCTGGCTCAGAGATTSATCATCCATCATGTTCTCTGACACTTCACACCCCAAGCTGTACATTGCAGCCATGGCAGGTTAGAGAGAAATTTGCTGGACTCTAATGCCCCCAGTATTTTAGTCTTGGAGAGGAGAAGACTGCTCAAGAAGATCTTTATCCATTACTTCTGCTGTCATTGTGTTGGAACTCTGCATCTGGTGTAGGAACTTCAGCAGATAAAAAAACCTTTGATAACCAGTTTTTTTTAGATTCTACATRAAATAGTCTGAGGATGGTTATAGTTAGTGCAGGTAGTGCTGTCCCTTAGGAGACAATAGAACTATCAGAATCAGAAACTCAGAAAAAGAAGGAGTTCAGTGATCACAGGGAGATRATATGCTGAGGAGCAAGTGAGATTAATAAGAAAAGGAAATGGATATTCTTTGCCATTTCAGTCATCCAGGGATTTTTTATCCAGATTTTTTTCCTTMCAGTTTTAAGCCTAATGGTGTGTTTTAACTGCTTCAAGTATCTGGTGGAGGCTCTGCCTTCTCAGTATAGGAATATGCTGAACATGGCTAGAGAGAAGAAGATATATCATTATGCAATGTGATGAAAAAATCAGGYGAAACCAGGCCTTTGTTCGGAAAGGACTGAAACATGTTAATAAGCTGAGGTTCCATATTACTGGGAGTAAATGTTGGCTGTTCACCTGTCTTGTTACAGCAGCAGAACTCCTATAGCAAATTCTCATAATTCATTATCCTGTTTGTACAAGCCCATCCTAAGTATTATGTAGGTTTTTGTTTTTTTGCCTGTCAGTGCCAAATTCAGATTTGTCTAATGTGTCAAAAGCATTTTCTCCTTTTCATGCAGCTATCATGTAATGTGACCAGAATGTTCATAAATACAAACAAGCAGTGCTTGAGTGGCCTTGCCATCACTCCATTTCCCCAGGAAATGCTGGAGAGGGGAAAAAAAAGACTGTAATATGGAAAGGGCTGAAGTACTGCATGCTATTTTTCCTCGGTTTTTATACGCAAGACTGACATTAGGAATCCCATGTATCAAAGACCGGGGGAAAGGCTAGAATGAGGTGTACTCTTGGAAAAGGATTAAGTCAGGAGCAAACTGAACATACTTGTCTATGGGGTCTGATGGGATGCAGCCACAAACACTGACTGAGCTGGCATGTGCCATTGCAAGCRAACTCTCAGTAATCTTTGCTTGATCATGGTAACTGGGATATCAGTTAAGGAAGGAAAGCAAATGTTACAAAGATGCCTAAGATGGAAGGAAAGCAAATGTTATTCCTATCTTCAAGAAGAGCTAGGAGAAACCAGGGAGCAACCAGCTGGTCACCCTCACTTTTATCCCTGGGAAGGTGATGGAGCGCCTAATTGTGGAAATCTTATCAAGGCMCATTAAGGACTAGAAAACTTTCAGAAGTCGTTTGCATGGCTTCACCAAGGGGGAAGTCATTCTTGAGCAACTTGATATATTTCTGTGATGAAATGACTGACTCRGTAGATGAGGGCAAGAGCAGTGGATAATGTCTGCCTGGACTTTGATACTGTCTGCCATTAGATCCTCATAGACAGACTGTTGATGTAGGGGCTGGATAAACAGACAGGGAGGTGGACAGGAAAATGGCTGAATGGCCAAGGCCAGAGAGGGTGATCAGTGGAGCAAARTCCTGCACTGGGGGAGGAACAGCCTTAGTGCCAGTATATGCTGGGGCCATCCAGATGGACAGTAGCTTAGCAGAATGGGACTTGGGCATCCTRGTGGATGCCACGTTGACCATGAGCCAGCAACGTGCCCTTGTGACAAGGAGGCTAACTTGTGGCTGAGAGCTTATCTTGGTCTACTTGAGAAAAAAGTATAGCCAATAGGTTGAGGAAGTGTCCCCCATCTGGACACAATTCTGGATAACTGGATCTAAGTGGCCCTGCTTGAGCAGGGGGTTGGACCAGATGACCTGACAAAGTCCCTTCCAAGCTCAGCATTTCTGTGTGAGTGCAGCAGTGGGTGCTTAAGATCATTGAAGAAGCTGTATCCAACAGGCACTTGAATAGATGCCAGTCTTGACAAGGAGCTTTTGAATCAGTGCCCTTCAGCATCCAGGTGGCCAGACCAGGTAACAAGAAACACCAGCTAACCTGAYATTTTTCTGTTTTCTTTTCCCTTGGGGACCCCAGCTTGAAGCCCTTTTCAGAGTACAGGTTCCTACCGCCTTTCCTTCAGATAGCTGAAAGGGGATATCTCCTTTTTTCCCTAAATACAGCAGAGGGAAGGGAAGATGCTACCCCTCTTTTGATATAGTAATTTAATGGTTGGATCATTATTTTGCAGTGCAGTTCCTTCAGTCATAGAGGATTGAACTAATTGCTTCCATCTCTTTGGAGGGACCCTACCATAATGCTGTAGGGGATTATGTGTTAGGGTGTGGGTGAAGGGGGCAGTCTGTGCACCCATTAAAGACCTGCCTGGGTGCAGAAAGTGCAGCAAGATTCCAAGGGCATGAGTGGGGGGAAGCCCAGAGCCCAGGGCAGGAAGCAGCCATGCTTGGAATGGCTGTGGGCAGATCTGGTTCCTCCTGGGAGGGCGGTTGTGCCTGTCGGCTGTTTAGCTGTGATTTGTGTGCAGAAACAGACCGCTTCCCGCAGCTGACTGGCCTGCCTGCTGGGCTACTCACCTGCTCCAGCTATTTTCAGCACATGAATCTTTTAATGAAAATGGCATTTACATAGAAAAGGAAGCAATGTGAAACATGAAACACAATAGAAAGTAAAGCAAAAGAGAAGAAAAATATGTGCCAGCAATCCAGAAGTCTAGAGAATAAACATTTAAAATCTCAGTAGTGCCTTTTTCATCCTGTCCAAAATTTTTGAATTTGTGATGTTGATTTGAACTCAGAGTGATGGAAGACCAGAAAAAACAGAAATTGAAATCTTTTCTTGAGGCTGCTGTTTRGAAATTGATGTACTTAGATGAAAAATGGCCTTAGATTTTACCCAAGCTGGAAATATCCTTAAACAGAAGTACAGAGCCATGGTCCCTGTCATCTGGTTTCATGTCTTTTAGAGAATTCCATAATAGATACTTTAAGAAAATGCRGGAGAAATTACTCCATTTTCTTTATAGATGAGTACTAAGGCATTGTCTGAATCAAAAAGTTCCTGTCACTTAGAGAAAATTGATGCTATTTTAGTTGATTGATCTTTTTTTATGAGTTCAAATGAGCAAAAATTGCCTTATATGAAAATGTGTTCTGCAAATATACTTATTTTTTCAAGCTTCAATAAGGGTGTCAATTTTGATGATGCCTCCAAACTAGGATGCAATTGTTTACCTAGAAATTTATTTTTCATATTATTAGATCAGTAATTTTACCATTAATTTTCTCTGTCAATAATACATGTGGGGTTTTTTTATACCTTAATAATACATCTGGTCTTATTTAGTATGTTCTTAAATTATTAAGCTATAGAGTGTTAATTTTCATGCAGTGTGGTGTTACAAGCTAAGTTTTTTCTTTATTGTACCTCCCTAATGCCATGCAGTTATATCAGAAGTGACAGCTATCATTYTTCTTCAGTATTGTATTAGAATTTTATTTTCAGTTATGTCCTGTATGCTTCTGGAATGCAAGAGCTGTTTGACAGCCCAGGCTGCTCCAGAACAGTCGAGGAAATGGCATTGTATAATTCTTACATAAGGGAAAGAGTGCCACCTACTGAATTACTAACTGCTTGTGTGAAGGTTGTTTCTTGATTTTGTGTGAAGGAATTGCTTATGCTTTACTCTGAGATCATTTTCAACTGAATATGGTTGTTTTTATATTTGGAGAATCATTCATGGTATAACAATTGATTTGAAGTTTCAGGGTTGCAGAGGCCTATGTCATTGTATCAGCATTTCCTCTGGACATTCAGAAATATTTTCATATTTTTCTAGATGTTGACTCGCCTGAATCTTCTCATATTGGTGTATTTCCTCTGTATTGCATGCAAAATACAATCTCAGCTTCACTTCCTTGGAAGAYAAACAAAACAACCCCTCCAAAAATGGGAACTGTACCATCCGGAGTTAATACCTGTAGAACTAGAACTTTTTAAACTGGGTTAAAATTCACATCTTTACCATTAAGCAGTAACCCGGGAAAAAAACATAAAGGGCATATTGGTCTTTCAGATTCTTTCTTCTGTTCAGAAGTATGGAACTTGTAATCCACAAGCAGTGTAGAAAAAGCAGTAACTCTTTCCTTTACACCAACAGTTGCCCCAGAAGATCCTAGCAGAAAGGTAGATGGTGACACCATTATTTTCTCACATGTGCAAGAAAGGTCCAGTGCTGTCTACCAGTGCAATGCTTCCAACGAATATGGATACTTGCTAGCAAATGCATTTGTGAACGTTCTGGGTAAGAAACAGACTTTATGTTTTTCTGTTTTCTTGAGTGTTCAGTTGTCTCCTGCTAACACACAGAGTCTCTGCTCAAGCCTTGCTTGAGGTCTTCATTGGGAATTGATGTATTTCCTGGCCCTTGTAAAAAGCAAGGGTATACATACCTTGGTTTTTTTTTTAGAATATGCCTGAATTTCGGTGAATTTCACTGTTACTAACTGACAAGAATAGATGTGAAAGCTGGGAAAACTTGGAAGAAATTGTATATGTTTTTGTCTG